CAGTTCCTTTTTAAGCCACTGACACAAACATTTACGAATAGGGGAACAAACAGACCGCAAACGTTAGGTATTTAATTACAGTGTATTGTTTCGAGAACGAATGGGGGGCGTCAAAGTATGCTATGTGTAATAGTGGATTAGCATGAGCGACCGTTTGGAGGGCGTACGACAAGTGTGAGCGGGCATCACAAATTTATCCTGCGTTAGGCGTGAATCAGTTCTAGCTCATTCATACGGATTAAAAAATGATTAGTATTCGAGCCATAGATACAACGCTTAGATAAATTAACAAACGGTATCACAAAGGACTAACAAGGTTTTGATGAGAAATCAGTCCAATTTAGATCAAAGGGGTTTTGAACATAGTAGCCTGTGTTAATACAGACGTGGCTCTATATATGTCAGGTTTGAATAGCTCTAAACGCATGAGCTCAAATATAGTCGAAAGATGTGATGTCGGCAGTTTTCGTCCTAATGGTTTATCGCTTTCATAAAGCACCATCGAATTAAATAACATCTACCAAAATGATTGTAATGTGACAAATTCTGCATTACGACCTATCGATCTCATTTGACAGATCCAGTTAGATTTGCATCGATGTTGACGGTCACTTATCACACGATGACCTTATCTCCCGATGGAAAACATCAAGTCCAGGTGAATCAACTTGATCACATGAGAACGAAAGACAAGTCTATTCACATTGAAAAAAGACAAATGTCTGAACGTTTATTCATGACATAAGACAAAATAAATTCTGGTCGAGGGCACATTGAGGCATGAATCATGTTGAAACGGGCTGAAGACGATTATTGATCCATGTTTCCTTCTCATGAGATGACTTTGCGAGCATGTACACACACGAGCCTTTCAGGTTTGGTGTCGTTAACTATGGTGAAGAACCAAGCAGCGGTCAACAAAGTGTGGAAAGTAATCAAGTTGAAAATGAACGGAGAAAAACTGCTTGATGAGGGAAATCACACAGTACCCATTATGGACAACAATTCTCTGAGATGAGTGACCGTATAACAAAAAAATAACATCATTTTGTGTATTTCTGATTATTTGCATTCGAATCAAATCAAAAGAGAAAGCAATTTTTCTAAACAAAATAAGTGTTTTTATCGATTCTATCCGCTGTTATATTCATCTCATATCTGCGAAAGGGTCAAGCCCAGTCCGTTCGCACTAAATAGCGGTTCGAGACCTGTGAGATTAAATCGGATCGATAACTGTCACTCACAATCGAAGGTGAAGGTGCGATAGTTTCAGTAAAGCCGGAAAGGTGTGTGATGAAAGTGGAAACAAAACGTAACTGTGCGGATGTTCAATGGACTATTCAGTGTGCGTTGAAAACTATTCCAACAGTTAAACTCAACCAAAATAACTTCACGTCTGACAAATGCCACAAATGAACCGATTTGAAGGAGATCATTATTTTTTATTTTTAGCAGAATCGCAGAACAACTTAAACACATCATGTCACCCAGAAACACAAAAAGTAGCTGTATCTCAGCAGGGAAACATCCCCAATTTGAAACGGAATGCTTGTCTTGAAATCAATCAAATGAAGGTATCTATGCTCAGTGAAGATATTTCTTCCTGTATTTGTGTTTTTGTTTAAAAACCTTAAGAATCATCAGGTTGGATTTTGACCAAGAGAAGTTGGGTCTATCTGTTCGTATCGAAGGAAAATCAGTGACTGGAATTCAAAGGAACTTTCTCGCATCTTGAACTTTATTCATGTGGAAATAAGGCTACCAAAACAACAGAAACACTCACGAATACGTTTGTATTTTTCTATTTGAGTTTCTTTAACCACCTACCGAAATGCAGTTCAAACATTTCTAGTAATTATGATGAAACACTTACTATCTGTTCGGGGTATGACAGTTCTGATCACTCGATGTGTTATAATATATTTCGGTTCGTCATCTATCTAAGGAGGGCACCTGAGAGCCACATACCAGTATTAATTAGTGATGCGGAACAACGAAACGTAGAAAACACTGGATTGGTTTGGGACAATTCAACGAGAACATAATGAGAAAGTTGACCGAAACACTGAATCCAATGGGAATATTGGAGAACAGTAGTATCTTACCATTCGGGAGCAGTACAACACTACCGATTGCGGATTAAACAACCAGGCTTTCGTGCAAATTCTTAATTTCAACTGCATTTGCAGTAAATCACCAATTGAAAAAGTAGTGTTCGTTTTCTAATTGCAATAGTCATTTTACTGATAGGCGTGATGCATCTTCTCATTAAACAAAACGAGGAGCAAAATTCTGACCTAATTCTATGACACGAAATCATTATGTATGCTTTATAATCATGAAATCAACATGAAGTTGAGTACTTAATTTGAATTTCCTTAACTTGACCCCTTTCTGAGTTGGTATTTATCATGCTCACTTGGAAATACTTGCTCACTGAGGCACCAAATTAGGTTTGCCTTTAGAAGGCGGCAACCAAGCCACAATAGAATGGCTATTTTGAATTAGAACTGATTTCGCTTCGCCAAGAGATGTTAGCAACGATCAATGTGTGTTAAAGACAATATGGGTCATCACTAGTTCAGTGGACAGTTGTCATGAGATAAGCAATCGTACCTAGATGTTACGTGGTGCAATGCTTATCACTAATGTCGGGTTTATTCCAGCTTCTAGTTGAAGTCTGAAGCTTGTGTAGCTTCAGTTGCAGAAAATCAGCTGTAGAGTCCTATGACCATCAGATTGACCGAATAACAGAAAAAGTTGTTAGTTTATCTAACCTCACTCGGGAAAAACTAACTGCTATAGGTGGGACACAGAGCAGCTAAAATTGAGTCCAACTGTCGCATGAGAAAGAAAAGTGAACACATAGGGATATAGAGGATGGTCAGAGTTGGTGAGAACCAATTGTGTTAAATTATCTTATGAGTATATCACAAAATCTTTGATTTGAATATACTGAAGAAAATGCCAATGGTCCTCAGATCGCGAATGATTGGAAGTACGTTCTAAGCGTTTGGATGCGTTCAGAAGAAGAAAAATTTGATATGAGAATGCTTGCACTTGTGATAAACTGTCAGGAAGTGACATGGTGTTGAGAACGGTCTAGTTGGCCTGAGATAAGACCGTATCATCAACTCATTTAACGGCATTGGATGGCGTAGGTAATTGGTAGACATCAAAAATATGTATAGGACAATCACAGTATTTAGAAAGACTTCCTTCCTACTTACTGACTAACAGTTTTACAATAGTTCTGCTTTTTTTGATTTTTCTAATCGTTTTTGGTAAACAGTCTTTCAATCAGGAAAATAAGGCGATAGGAAAATTAAGGAACTGCAATTGTTGGAGAAGGGATCATGGGAAGGAAAAAGAATCTGAAGAATAAACGTGGGAAACAGAATAAACGGATTGCTGAGACCTGTTCAAATGCAGTGCATTAAGAGTCTGAATGCCNCTGAATGCCTCAGCCTGGTCGTCTTGGGGTTGTGGCTGGTCGCCCTCGCGAAATGCTCCCATACGACCAAGAGTCTCAAATAGCCTCTGCTGAAGAAGCCCTATTCACTGCCTTTTATTGACGGAGTTGTTTTCACCAAAGTGAGGTGATGAAAATTCGACATCCGGGGCTATAACCGGGGGGTGGGCCACTTGCAATTCATCTGGAGGGATTGGCTAAAATTCCTGATTTCAAACCAACCAAGAAGAGGCGTACGAACCACAATCACCCACACCTGGCTTGTGGCATTGGTCATCTACCAGATTGGGTATCGAGGTGTATCGGGCACCTTGGACGTCCAACCCCGTCCGAAGAGCGTATGATTCGATGGACTGGACAACGGCCCCCAATGGATTGCGGTTTCACCCACTAACCCGCTGCCTTGCGGGTATTACTTTAGCTAGTCACAGACTCCGTTTGTGAATTCCTTAGGAAAATTCATTTGACTTGGCCTGGGCAACCTGACAGTATTCCGCACACAAACAAATCATGAAACTTTTTTTCTACAGAGCATTAAACCGTGATTTGTTTGACACAGTATGGATTTAGAGGAGTATTACATACACAGTACATCAGTGCGTTAGTGAAGAGATCACCTACCGTACATCCATATGGTTGATGGGTAAACTGAAAGCAGCATTAATGCAGAACTACAAAAGTATAAGAATATTGCGCTCTTCTATTTTAAGCACAACAAAATAAAGGCAAAGAAATGAAATCACTGGGATAGATTTTTAGACGAGGAACGCTTAGGCATGGGAACAATGGTGAAAAGCTTCTAGAAAAAAGAAATCAAACAGGTTTTCACGTATACGCAAGACTTCAAATAAAACTGTAAATCTTGTTCGCATGAAGCTCACATGATTTTACTTAACGGCTCCGCGCTAAGTACCGCTGAACACAATTATGAATGCAAAGGATTTATATGCCTAACCCCCTCCCCCCACTTGCGTAGGGGTGAAAGGTTTAAATGCTCTTAACGGTTGTAGATATTCATTGGGTCCAGTAGAAACCTTGTCCGGGAAACAAAGCCACACAAGAATGACGATCTACACGGAAATGTTGGCGTACCGCTCAGATTACTCGTTTTTTATTCGAAGTAAATCATTCGCTGTGAAATGAATAGCAAACAAGAATTAATCTTCCTATTTATTTCAACATCTCCCAAAATGTCAAGGAATTGTTTGCTGGCAAAGAGAGGTTTTGAGTTTCGGGATTTCAGTTCGCTTTTCAGAATAAAATAAATTAGAAATGAATACGCCACCGTTACCGAGATCTGCAATGAATAAATACACCGAAATCTAATAAATTTGTTGAGAGAACCTGTCATTAACTTCAGCCTCGATAATAAAGCACACTCCTAATGAAGATAATTCATTCACCCTCTCATTAATTACCAATCTTGGGTCGTAGATACGTTTGCGATATTTAGATCAACACGGTCGTGTTTTTCTACCGCTTGGCTGCCCAGCGCTCGTAATCAAGAGCACTAGAGATTACAAAGCAACTAGCACATATAAATACTGTAGAACTCACTTCGTGCAGTATCGGGTAATCGTCGCAAGAACTGATCCACCACGCCTGTCTCATCCTCAGTCAGGATGTGGAACACTTTGTACCCATTGTCTAACAAATAAGCATTAATGCTTTGTTGCTGAAATACTCCCACTAGAGCTGTATGACCTGTGCCTTCATCAAGTAGTCGAGATTTGCGGGCGGCATACAATCCGATTGGGGTTTGTTCGTTGGGCAGCCATCCGTATTGTTTCATTGTATTCTCTATCAACCACGGTAAATCAGAATAGGAGAAAAACACGCGAGTGAGGAGTGCATATTCAACCTTGTCTTTCAATTGGTAGGCAAATCCGCCTGGGGTAACCACGGGCACATTGTACATGGAATTGCTGAAGCGAGCAGCATTCGCAATACTGAAGTCATTTAACGGTCCCAGTAATACATTAATCGCTCGTGTCTCGAATTTGTGTAACACAGCCAAAGAGTCACAGGCGATTGAGGAGATGTGAAGTATGGGCACAGTGGTGAACTGAACTCCATTGAAATCGGGATTTTTCTTAATCTTCTCAATGGCTACATCTAAAGCAGGAAGAACTTGCGCAAAATTTTCCTCTCCCAGAGCATCCAGCTGAATTCCGAGAAGAACCTCAGTCACATTTTTGTAATACTTTCCTGGTTTTTCAGACCTTGTCAATCTTGACCGTGCCTCGTTTATCACATTTGTGGCATTCAGTATTCGGTCGAACGCGGACAAAACATCTTTCATGGGAAACCGGCGGGGAGGTTGCTCCGGGCTATCCGCTGGTTTGCAAAACTGCTGATTGTATGCACCGCCAACGCTGACAAAAAGCAATAATACAATCAACACCAAAGAGCGAAAAATATATCCAGTTTTTCGGCAGCCGTTCGCTTTTGACACTTGGGTGGAACAGGATGAATCAATTCCCTGATACAACCTGAGCCACATTAGCAGAACGTGGTTGTGCTTATGTGTAACGTGAGTTGCGAACGACGAAATTTCGTGACAGTAAGTAGGTAGATTTTCTGGCACTATATCGATCCAACTTGGTAAACCGTTGCTGTTTTGGTGAGCAAAACGGCCAGTACTTTCATGTTGGACGACCAGAGGTCAACCATGGCTGCAAGATGCGAAGACTGCATGCAAGCCGATTTAATCAACTCTTTATAGGACATGCTAAACCTCGCTTAGTGATTGGTTCGTTTTCAGGTAAAGGTCGTTTCGGGTGAACCAATCAGCGACCGACACTGAATACTTGGCCAATACAATGCTGGCGCTGACTAAGATAACCTAAGTGGAGGAGAAAAAGTTTTGATTGTGCTGGATCGCGTGGTTCGAGTGTTATAGCTGGGTTTGCCTGTCATCCGCGCGCAAGTCTGGGCGCGTAGTGAGCTTATTCACACAGCCTTGCATTCACACGCACAAACATGTGTAGGTACTGCGCTTTCGCAAGCGGTTGCACGCACTTTTAAATGACTAGCGAACTGGTTACAGTCGCAGTGGTGATGAAAACCCAACCAGTCAATTCCTCAGCGGAGTGGTTAGCATTTTTCAGTGCGGAATAATTTTGAAAATGCACATCAATTAGATAAAGAATAAA